CTGCACCACTGATGTAGGAAATTGGAAGTCCACTGCAAGCAGCCCTCAACTCCAGCCCTAAACTGGAAGGGTTTTAAAACTCGAAGGAATAAAGAAGTTACACAGACAGAGGAAGTTGCTTTTATTTATCCTCTCTCTTACTCCTTCTTTAGATCTGATTCAACAAAGCTATTCCTAAGAAGTATGTCCGCTCCTTTCTCTCTTCCCTGCCTACCTGCCTGCCTCTTTTTGCTACCTTCTCTTCTTTCCCTTTTCTTCCTCTGTCCACCGCTGCTTTTTGCCCACAGTGATCCAGGTCTGAGTAAGACTGCCCTTTAGCCTAGTATAGAAGCTGAGGCTTTTCTTTTGAAATTAAGTATTGGGGGACAGGAAAAAGGTGAGAAGGGAAGAGAAAACATCAAACCCCAACACCTCTTAGAGGTACATCTAAATAAATCTTGGCTCACTTCGTAGACATTTCTGTTAGGTTTCTATTTTTGCTTTGTTAACTATTAAAATTTAGGCCTTTCATATCCCTTCAACCCCTTACTTGTAAACAGATTCTTGCCCCTGCTTCTTACCATCCCCCATTATTATACAATTGTAATAATATTTTCAGGAACATGACTGTTGCCCATTCATTCAGACAACCAGGAAGGACTTCATGAAAAAAAGGGCAAAAGATTAAGAATCTGAGACATAAGATTCAGAGAAAGGATAAAGAGTGAGACAAAATTCAAATTGCTTAAACTTTACAGGAATCTTGGGAATTCCACAAGCCAGGGAAATCAGGTCAGTTCACTAAAGAGGCTAATTCAAAGAACTAGCCTACTTATCAGGAGGGGCAGTCTGTTTATTAGACTTGTGGTGCACAACTGGAAATACTGTGTCTAAGGAGACTGCTGGTCCTCCCCTCCCCCGTGGAGGTTGAGCAATGAAGAGCACACAATGAAGACTAGAAAGGTCGAGGGCTATATAAAGGCTAACTATGACTTTCTAATCAAAGCTGTAAGTCTCACTTGTAATGGAAGGGTTTTAAATTAAAATAGAGGAAGTAATATTGAAGATTGTTTTTGAAAGTCTGTCAGACTTTAAATCTAATTATTTAAAGAGTTGGAAGCTTTCAGTACAAAGTTACTGGTGTCTATTTATGAGAACTCTGGGAGACCACAGAAAATTGCTGATGTGTGTCTATTTTTGGAAAATAACAGATACCTGTACCCCACAGTTCAGTATTAACAAATGCTGACCTTTTGTATATTTGCTTCAAGTCTTCTTAATAATAGAAATGAGGTTATAAAGTACCATTGGAATCTTCCTCAATTGCATTCTTCCCTCTCCTCAGTGGTAATCATTTTGACAAATTTGGTATCATTCCAGTCCATGTTTTCATACCTCTACTACTCATGTAAGGAGCCCTGGTGGTGTAGTGGTTACACGTTGGGCTGTGATCTGAAAGGTCAGCATTTCGAAACTACCAATCAGCTCCAAGGGAGAAAGACAGGGCTTTCTACTTCTGTAAACAGTTATAGTCTCTCTGGGAAACTCACAGGGATAGTTCTACCCTATCCTATAGGGTCACTATGAGTCAGCATTGACGGCAGTGAGTACTACATACGTATGTAGTCATAAACAATATGTAATATTTTAACCATACAAATGGATTTGTACTGCATGTATACAAAATATATCTTTGTAGCTTGCATCTGGAGACTGTTGTTAAACATATATACTAGATTGTATTTCTCTATCATTTTACTTAACGACAGTTGTGTTGTTTCCAGTTTTTTCGCCATTACCAAGAGTGTTAGTAACATCCTTGTACATGTCTTCTTATATGGGAGAGTTTCTCTAAATCAGGGGTTCTCAACCTTGGCACTATTAACACAGTGGGCTGGATAATTCTTTAGTGGTGTGTGTGTGTTGTGGGGATAGGGATGGGGGAGCATTCTATACATTGTAGAATGTTTAGAAATACCCCTGACCACGCACTCATTCTTCAAATTCACTGCTACCAAGTCAGTGCTGACTCGGAACACACACCCCCACACCCCCACACCCCCACCCCATCCCACTCCCACCTGTGGGTTTTCTAGACGGTAACTTTATGGGAGTAGAAAGCCCAGTCTTTCCCCTGACCTCTAGCTACCAGATATCAATAGTACCTCCTCAGTGGTTGTTAGGACTCAAGATGTTACTGATGACAGCTTTAAGCGGGGCTCTTAAATGTTAACTGAGGGACTTTGGCCTACATCAGTGCTGGGTCCTTTAGTGCCAGGGCATGGTAGAGAAAATGTTACTCCAGTCTGAGAATGGGTTTGCGATTGCAGTCTCCCAGTCAGTGCTGGACCTCTTTCCTTGAATAGATTTCCTGGGCTTGGACAACTGTTTCTTAAGGTAAAAGGGCACGCAGGGAATTTTAAAGAGAGATGGGGGTTTAATGATCTGCTATAATGCTTAAAGCCTAAAGTACCTTCAAGAAGTGTTTTTCAAATCAATCCCTGGTAGGGTTGAAGACGTAGGTTAAGGACAGAGGCAGCTGAGCACTCTAACTCCTTTGATCCTTAATGAAATCCATAAGTTGGAGAAGGGCTAAGAAAGTTCTGGGATGCCTTCAACATTTGATACGTCACTGTAACCTTCTCTTCGGGCAGGAATCAACAGGATCCTTCCATGAGGAGCTGCCTCTTCCATTTGCTGCTGGATTTGAACTTGTTTCTTTCTGGCAGAATCAAGGACATGCCAGCACTGTAAGAGTTAATCCCCCTTGTCTTCTGACCAGTTTCTATTGGAGGTGGGGGGTTTTCTCTTATGGATCTTTAGTCATTTTAAGTCATAGCCCACATGCCTCCTTTCCCATAACCTTGTTCCCTATTTCCCCCAGAACTCTTAAGTAGTTCCCACTTAGAGTCTTATTCCCCTACCTCATCCTCAACTCATTGCCAGGACGCTTAGATTCCGGGCTGATGGTGTGCTCCCCTCCACAGAGCGGGATGAGTGGGTGCTCCGGTGGGGATGTGGTCATTGCCGGCCAGTGAGGGCGAGAGCGCCACGGCCCACTTCTTCCTGGGAGCTGGAGATGAAGGGTTGGGCACCCGTGGAATAGGCATGAGGTCAGAAGAGAGTGACAGCGAGCTCCTGGAAGATGAGGAGGACGAAGTGGTAAGACTAGGGGAAGTGACATAACCTGGTGGTGGGGCCCGTGTGACAAAGTTGAGCTTTCTTTGGATGAAGACCTCCCTCTATTCTTTCCAAATGCATGAACTCTTATGTAGGCGCTTCTCTAATTTAAGGGGAGGGCCAGTGGAGATTGGTTAAATTACATCTCTATGAAACCCCTGCCCTTGTGCCTTCCTTATAATAATCGCGATAGTTGGTTCTCTCCTTCATCTGCCTGAACACACACACTTTCTACTGTGGAAAGTCTCCTATATGGTAGGCAATAGAAATCCCCATTTGTTCCCCAACCTAGTCTAAATTTAGAAGAGCAACCTTGATCCCGTGGTTCTGAAGTCCCAGCTAAACAACCCTGTGTCTTAAGGATGTGGGACACTGTTCCCTGGTGGTATTGGTATAGGTAGGAGCTTCCTGAGTTCCTGATAACACTTCCTTCCTGTAGCCTCCCGAACCACAGATCATTGTTGGCATCTGTGCCATGACCAAGAAATCTAAGTCCAAGCCAATGACCCAAATCCTAGAGCGACTCTGCCGATTTGACTACCTGACTGTTATCATTCTGGGAGAAGATGTGATTCTCAATGAACCTGTGGAAAACTGGCCATCCTGCCACTGCCTCATCTCTTTCCACTCCAAAGGTTGGGATCTGGGAGGGAAAATGGGAAGGAATGGTGTTGGAGATGCTAGACTGGGACTTGAGGTTCTTGCTGCTGTATTTTATTAGTAAAGATGCCACCAATTCTTCCTGACACACTAGATAATAGTGTGAAGGGGTTTACTTTCCCTGTGGCTTAGAGGACTCGATGGAGGTAGTTTATAGCCCATGATCTAGCCCAGGTGTCCTCAAACTACAGCCCATGGGCCACATGAGGCCCGCCGAGGACATTTATCCGGCCCGCTGGGTATTTTTGCCCCATTTTGTTTTTTATTTCAAAATAAGATATGTGCAGTGTGCATAGGAATTTGTTCATAGTTGTTTTTTTTTAAACTGTAGTCCTTTCTTCTATTTTTTCTGAGGGACAGTGAACTGGCCCCCTGTTTAAAAAGTTTGAGGACCCCTGATCTAGCCTTTGGACAGCTGTAGGGTTCTTAGAGTCTCTGAGGGAATTGGGTCTCTGGAAGGACCTTATAAATAATTTCTTCTTACTTTTTCTTGATGGCTATCCTAGACTTTTGGGAAGATGGTAAGAAGGATAGTGATGAAGTCAGATGGGTGGAAGCTCAATGTTAACTAGTAATCTTAATATGTTTAATAGTTCTTTTTGTTTGTTTGTTTAATAGTTCTTTCTCTTTCACTCTCGGTGGCCTGTTTCTTTCTTCATCCCAGGATTTCCTCTGGATAAGGCTGTTGCTTACTCCAAGCTTCGAAATCCCTTTCTTATCAATGATTTGGCCATGCAGTATTACATCCAAGATAGGTACAGCTTTCTGTTGACCAGTGGGATTGGGGAGGGTGGGGGGCAGGTGGGAGCGGGGCTGTGAGATTCTATCCCAGTCTTTTCCAGAGATCTTTAGGGAACTCACTCATGGAGGGGCAGAGTCAAACAAACTTGCTTAATTTTATACCATACCTACTTGGGTTCTGTGCAACTGTAATCTCCAGCCCTGCACCTTAGTCCTTCACCCCAACTCTCCCAGCTAATTTATTTGGGGGTGACAGGAGGGAGGTGTACCGGATCCTGCAAGAAGAGGGCATTGATCTGCCTCGATATGCTGTGCTCAACCGTGACCCCGCCCGGCCTGAGGGTGAGTACCTGGTTTTACCCACGCTTGCCCTGTCTTGCTGTATATGACAGTTCTTCAGCCTGTACACATTTCCTATGTACATTTATCTACGTGGGACTTTGAATACTGGATTATGGGGAGAATTAGAACCATGAGTCCTTGGACAAAGATTTGTACTGGTAATAAAGATATTGTAATACCTATGACCAAGATAAGCTAACAGAAATGTGAGGGTTTCTGAGATTAAAACTCTGGGGCAATAGGAGTTGAAAGTATTCGGTAATCCTAGTTCCTAGGATTGACCACACACTTAACTTTCAGAATGCAACCTGATAGAAGGGGAAGACCAGGTAGAGGTAAATGGAGCTGTCTTTCCCAAGCCTTTTGTGGAGAAGCCAGTTAGTGCCGAGGACCACAATGTTTACATCTACTACCCCAGCTCAGCCGGAGGAGGAAGCCAGCGCCTCTTCCGTAAGGTGTGTGTGGTGGGGTGGGTAGGTGGGGGACGTGTGAACATTTGGGGAGTCAAAGAGAAGCATTTGAAGAGTCAAAGAGGTCGGAGGACAGGGCTGAAGTTATAGGGAGGGACGCTGCAGGTTTTGGACACAAAGTGGAGGATGGAAGCAACATGCTTTCCCCGTTTCCCTCCCTTTTGAAGATTGGCAGCCGGAGCAGTGTTTATTCTCCTGAGAGCAGTGTCCGGAAGACGGGGTCGTACATCTACGAAGAGTTCATGCCGACAGATGGCACTGATGTCAAGGTTATGGTGGATCTAGCTTACAAATGCCTGGGTGGGAAGAAATAAAGCATGAATGAGATTGGCTTTCATATTCAGATGAAGATAAAGCAGGGAGTGTTGTAGACATTCACATTATCGCTATCAGCATGGGCAAGGGTCACATAGAAAATGGCATAATGTTGATAACTTATTTATTAATAGAGACTACACTATAGTAGTGGAGTCCTGTGGAGAAACCTTCATAATGATACTTCTGTAGTGCTCAGAAGGAAAAAAAAAGTCAATCTCATTCTTAATGCTCTGTGTTTGTTTGGATTTTTAATTCTGAAACTAGTGTGTAGACCTAGTGCTCACACTGTCTTCTCATAAACAGGGTGAGCTATGGGCATACTCAGTGATGCTATGTACCTGCAGGTGTATACAGTGGGGCCGGATTATGCTCATGCGGAAGCCAGAAAGTCTCCAGCTTTGGATGGAAAGGTGGAGCGAGACAGTGAGGGGAAAGAGATTCGGTATCCTGTCATGCTGACCGCCATGGAAAAACTGGTGGCCAGGAAAGTCTGCGTAGCTTTTAAGGTGGCGGAAGGCTCATGGGGGTTGGTGGGGTAAGGGAGAAAGACGGGGCAGGAGTGTTCTAAGAGAGGCCCCTTCTGTCCTCTTCTTACCTTGCTTCCCTGCAGCAAACCGTTTGTGGATTTGACCTTCTTCGTGCCAATGGCCACTCTTTTGTGTGTGATGTCAATGGCTTCAGTTTTGTCAAGAACTCGATGAAATACTATGATGACTGTGCCAAGATTCTAGGGTAAGAGCTGGGAGAATGGGCTTAGGGAAGATTATGAAGCTTTTATTTTAAATATTATAAAAATTATTTAAAAGGGAAAGGATTTTGTAGCCCCTTGTCTTCCCAACATTGTACTTCCAATGATAATTACTATTAACCAATTGAACATAACAATGCTTCTTTCACTGCTATGTTAACAAACTATATTTTACATGTTTAATTTTACTACATGTGATCATTCTATACATAATTGTTTTGTATAACCTGACTTTAAAAATAATTGTCATGGAACGATTAAAATATTCAAAATGATAGGAAGAATGATGAATATATAGTGAATTCATCGAAGTTGAAACGTCTAACTTAGGAAATAAAATATTAAGAATACTGTTGAAGTCCTAATCTTCCTTGATTACGTATCTCCATTCCATTTATCCAAAGTTAACCACCGTCCTAAAGAGGAGGTGAATCATCTGCTTATATTCGTACTAGATATGCAGAGCTTCTTTGGAATGATTTTAGACGTTAGGTGAATGCATTCTCCTGCAGCTTGCTAGTGTTACTTAGTGTTCTAGTTGTGAATTTCATTAGCTTGTTGGTCTTCTCCTTCTAGGAATACCATAATGCGGGAGCTGGCCCCACAGTTCCAGATCCCATGGTCCATCCCAACAGAGGCTGAAGACATTCCCATTGTTCCTACCACGTCCGGTACCATGTGAGCAAAAGTAAAAACCTGGCGTAATCTACTTAAGGCTCTTGGCACTTCCTAAGACAAACCAATGGAAAATTCCTGACCATGCACAATCTGGCAATCCCCCCAACCTAACCAATAGTCTGACTCTCAGTTTCTCCTCTGCTCTGTGACATGTTACATAGGATATGATTTGTCGGGTGGGGGAGGCTCTGATCACATTCCCCATCCTAGGATGGAACTTCGTTGTGTCATTGCCATTATCCGTCATGGAGATCGTACCCCCAAACAGAAAATGAAGATGGAAGTGACACACCCAAGGTAGGAAGGATGTCCTAATTAGAGAATAGATTTTGATGGTGGCGAGATGACCAGAGGCATCTCCCTTAGGCTTTGTCTGGCCCCACACTGACACTTCTCTTTACTTCTTCAGATTTTTTACTCTATTTGAAAAACATGGTGGCTACAAGACAGGGAAATTAAAATTAAAACGACCTGAGCAGCTACAGGTAAGGTGGTGAATTGGGAAGAGCAGTGCTATGGAAAACATAACTCACTGCCATTGAGCAGATGCTGACTCATAGTGACTCTATAGAACAGCATAGAACTGCCCCTGCAGGTTTCCGAGACTGTAACTTTTTACGGAAGTAGAAAGGCCCATCTTTCCCCCAAGGAGCAACTAGTGGTTTTGAACTGCTGACCTTGCTGTTAGTAGCCCAGCGTAAAATCTCCTCCCATAGCAATGATAAGGTGTATGCACTAGAAACCTTCATTCGAGACTTGGTAGGAGAAAACCACTCGCAGGACTTGGCTTCCTACATGAATGCCCGAATATTTCCTCCAGGAGGTGCTGGACATCACCAGGCTGCTGTTGGCTGAGCTGGAGAAAGAGCCAGGTGGTGAGATTGAGGAGAAGACTGGGAAACTAGAGCAGCTGAAGTCTGTGCTAGAGATGTGAGAAGGGAAATGGGAAAGGGGAGCCAATAACAGTGAGAACTGTGTGGCAGGACAGGCAGTAAAAGGAGACTTTGTCCTGCAGGTATGGTCACTTCTCCGGCATCAACCGGAAGGTGCAGTTAACTTACTACCCTCATGGAGTAAAAGCTTCTAATGAAGGGCAGGGTAAGATATAAATACCCCATTCCTATTGCCACTCACCTCTCTTATTCTTGAACTGTTAAATTGCCTCCAGTCCCTTTCTGGTCTCCTCAAAAGACGTAGCATTAGATGTCCCCACTATTTACCTTAGATCTGGTCCTTTTCATTACCCCTTATTCTCTCAGACCCTCAGCAAGAGAGTCCGGCCCCATCTCTACTGTTGGTTCTGAAGTGGGGTGGAGAACTGACTCCTGCTGGTCGTGTTCAGGCTGAGGAACTGGGGCGAGCTTTCCGCTGCATGTACCCCGGAGGACAGGGTAAGTGTTTTGAAGGATAACTACCTAGCAGGACTGGAATCAGATTGAGAATGAGTTGGGGGAAGTAGGGAAGTTCAAGGGGAATGCTTATTTAAGTGTGGATATTTATAACAGTTCACTTATGGTCCCCTGCATTGCCTCAGGTGACTATGCTGGCTTTCCTGGATGTGGGCTGCTCCGTCTTCATAGTACTTTCCGCCATGACCTGAAGATCTATGCTTCTGACGAGGGCCGCGTCCAGATGACTGCTGCTGCCTTTGCTAAGGTACACACTACCTTTTTCTTACAACCCAGCTTACATTAGGTAATGAAACAGATAGTTTAGAGTAGGGGTGGGGAATATCTGGCCTGTGGACCATATTAGGCCTGAGACGACACATACCTCCTAACGAGAAACAGTTCTAGCTATCGTATAAGGGGTGAGTTAATGAAATGTTTGACCAGTCTGGCCCGCAAATGGTGTTGTATATATCCAAATGACCCTTGGCAGAAAAAAAAAATCTCCACCCCTGGTTTAGACAATGAGTTGGAAAATTTCAAGGTATTGTATACCAACTCAGAAGTTTCTGCTTGTACCTGCTCCATCTTATACTGCTGAGAATGAGCTGAGAATAATTAGTAGGGGTTAGGCCCCTTGGTGTCTATTCCAGCTCTCCAGGTGTGCTCGACTTTGATATCTGGAACCTGCAAGGTCTAAGGGAACAAGCTGGAAAGGACACGAACAAACCTGTTTCCCCTCCAGGGCCTTCTGGCTCTAGAAGGAGAGTTGACACCCATTCTGGTGCAAATGGTGAAGAGTGCCAACATGAACGGGCTCCTGGACAGTGACGGCGATTCCTTGAGCAGCTGCCAGCGCCGAGTAAAGGCTCGACTACACCATATTTTACAGCAAGACGCACCCTTTCGCCCTGAAGACTATGACCAGGTCAGGCACTCCCTATGTCTGGGCCCCAAATATCCCATATCCCAAACTTCTGGAATTTAACACAATAGAGCTTACTATGTGTCAGGCACTGTTCTGGGTGATTTACATACATTATCTCAATTGATTCTCGGAACAATCCTTTGAGGTAAGTACAGGTTGATTGTGTCTTATCCATGACTTCAGAAACGGAAGAGAATTTTGTAAGTTTGACATCAAAGCTCATTTGGTGGCATGATATCTTCTGTCCCGAGGCTATTTATAATTTTATTCTTATCCCACCTAGTGTGGTCATATATTTTGCTGTAGAAATTTTAGTGTAGCTGATCATGCCTCAGACCCTGCATATATGTTTTATGCATTGTTTTAACTTACTGAAGTCCAAAAAATTCTCAATTCCCAAACACAGCTGGTTCCAAGGATTTTGAATAAAAGAATGCTCCCTACAGCTGTCTAAAAAAACTAATTTAAAGTTTTAGTATCCTGAAAAAGAGAATAACTTTATTATCTCTCATAGGTCTGGGGTCAACTGAGCCGAGGACTGTGAGAGATAATAAAATGATTGCTGTTTTAAGTTAATTTGGGGTCTCTCATGAGGTTTTATTCAGACCAACATCCGAAGGCTTCACTGGGATGCCGGAATAGCCGGACTCTCTTTCTCTCGACTCTCTTCAGGTAGTTTCCGAGCCTTTCCTCTCCCTCGGTTTCCTCTTCTGTGTGGTTCCTCCCACACGACAGCTTCCCGAACCAAACTCTAACTCAGAGTGACTACACAACAGAGAAGAACTCCCCCATCGATTCCTAAGGCTGTAATCTTTATGAAAGTAGACTACCACAGAGTGGCTGCTTAGTTCAAACTGTCAAACTTCTGGTTCTCAACCAAGCACTTAACGACAGGGCCACCAGAGCTCCTGATGGTAGCTTCCCAATTGCCATTAAGATGATTCAGACTAAGAAAAAAAATATGATCAGACTCATAGCAACCATATATGTGGGCATTTGTAGAGGTCTAAATAAAGACATGCACATATGCAAATATATTTATATATGACAATGGGGAAATAGATCTATGTGCATATATTTATAGGTTTAGTATTAAGGTAGCAGAAGAATATTGGGCCTCCACTCAAGTACTCCCTCAATGCAAGAATACTTTCTTCTATTAAATTGGCATTCTATGATGCTCACCTTCCCAACACAACCGCTGAAGACAAAGCTAGTGAATAAGCAAATGTGGTGAAGAAAGCTGATGGTGCCTGGCTATCAAAAGATATAGCGTCTGGGGTCTTAAAGGCTTGAAGATAACAAGTGGCCATCTAGCTCAGAAGCAACAAAGCCCACATGGAAGCACACCAGCTTGTGTGATCACGAGGTGCCAAAGGGATCAGTTGTCAGGCGTCAAAGAACAAAAAATCATATCATTGTGTGCTTACCTCCATGATACGATTGCTGAAGACAAATGGGTGCATAAGCAAGTGTGGCGAAGAAAGCTGATGGTGCCCGGCTATCAAAAGATATAGTGTCTGGGGTCTTAAAGGCTTGAAGGTAAACAAGCAGCCATCTAGCTCAGAAGCAACAAAGCCCACATGGAAGAAGCACACCAGCCTGTGCAATCATGAGGTGTCGAAGGGATTAGGTATCAGGCATCATCAGAACAAAAAATCTTATCATAGTGAATGAGGGTGGGTGTGCGGAGTGGAGACCTAAAGCCCATTTGTAGGCCACTGAACATCCCCTTAGAGAAGGGTCTCAGGGAGGAAATGAGCCAGTCAGGGTGCGATGTAGCAAGGATGAAACATACAACTTTCCTCTAGTTCCTAAATGCTTCCTCCTCCCCCACTATCATAATCCCAATTCTGCCTTACAAATCTGGCTAGACCAGAGGATGTACCCTGCTACAGATAGGAACTGGAAACACAGGGAATCCAGGGCGGATGAGCCCTACAGGACCAGTGGTGTGAGTGGCGATACTGAGAGGGTGGAGGGAGGGTGGGTTGGAAAGGGGGAACCGATTACAAGGATCTACATGTGACCCCCTCCCTGGGGGACGGACAACAGAAAAGTGGGTGAAGGGAGACGTTGGACAGGGAAAGATATGACAAAATAATAATAATTTATAAATTATCAAGGGTTCATGAGGGAGGGGGGAGCGGGGAGGGAAGTGAAAAAATTAAGACGACAACAACAACAAAAGCAACCATATGTGTGTACATATGCATATATACACATATGTGTGTGTATCTATCTATCTGAATATCAACATCTTTTTCAAAGCCATAAATCTGTACAGGAGCAGATCACCTCATCTTTCTCCTGCAGAGTAAATGGTAGTTTTGAACCATTTGAACCACTGACCTTGGCTAATAGTCCAACACTCACCCAACAGCATCACCAGGTCTCTCTGATATTAGCTGAGGGTTCTCCCAAACCACAAAAGCAGAAACTTCCAGGATTCCTTAAAGTATAGGCTCAGAAGTAGCATATCAGAACATTGTTAGTCTATGTTCATTTAAAAAAAAACAAAAAAAACCTTTTTATTGTGAATTAGGTGAAGATTTGTAGAACGAGTCTTCATTTTTTCAGTCGACAATTTTGTTTCATCTCACCCATTACAGTCCCATTAATGTAACATCGCCTATTCCATCTCCTCCCTGTGTTTCCTGTTTCCATTTCTCTTTCTTTCCTTTTTAACTTTGTCCTTGGGCAAATGCTGCCCCCACTTTTTTTCCTTGCAAATGGTTGCTTATTCTAAGGTGCATACTTCACAAGTGTTATTGTTCATGTTACAGACCGATCTTTTGGTTGAAAATTGAGCCACATGTCTTTGTTACTTTTTATTGGTTACGCGGTTACTGGGCTAGCCCGGATAACAAGGAGAATAGAGGGTGACAAAGAATCAATGGCTACCTTTAATCCAGAACAAAGGTTATGGTCCTCTACAACTTTTCCCTTAAATTTCAGCTGAAGGATCCTAAACTCGGAAGAATTTAAGCAACATTTTCTAAAGTGACTCAGCTAGTATGAACCCAGAGAGTTTAACTCCGAAGATCAGGCTGTAACTCTTTCAGTGCAGTAGCTCACAGTAATAATCACAGTGGATGCCAACACCCAGTGTGGTCATCGTTTTTCCTGTGTACCACTTAGCAATTGCTGAGCGCAAGAATTCCCTAACCTTCTCTCTAGCACAGGGAACAGGCCCAGAGGCTTTCAGGGCTTTAACAGGGAAATGGATGAGTGTCTACACAAGTTCAAGAACATTCCTTTTTTTTCTGTAGGAAGCTGTTCCAGCTCCTGGATGCTGAGTCAGTCTCTTATTTCAGGTCCATCCCAGAGTTCAGACTTAGGCTAACATCAGCATCATGTGGATCTGACTGAGAATGATCCAGGCCATGATTGACAAGAGATCATTTGCTAGATAATTGCTTTCTACCAACAACCCTCTGATGAGTCATTGCCTAGGGCTCTGAGAAGGCTTGATAAGGGACCAGATTTTATTTTCCAATCCATTGTTTAGTGCCAAATACCGAAAAATGAAGGCACTTTTCCCTTTCTCTAGCAAAAATGGAGCTTGTTAGAACCTACATAGAAGGCGTGTATTTCACCCTTAGCCTCTTTTCCCCACCCATGTGGTGGTATCCTTCATGCACTGTGGAGGTCCCAAAAGCTTCAACTTGGGCCCTGTTCTGAGACAGCACCTCTATAGGTTCAGGCTAACATCTTGTCAAGAGGAACAAGAAAATCTTGTCTCTAACATGCATCCGTGTAAACATTTTAGGGTTGTTTTGAGAAATTTTGGTTTAATCCTTATTCCCTAGTGTTTTTCATTCATATTTTGGAGTCTCTGATGAGAAAAGACCACAAGACTCCAAGACATTTCTTCTTCTTTTTTTTTTAATCATTTTATTAGGGGCTCATATAACCAAGACATTTCCTGATAGTGAGCCAACAAACATCTCATTGTAATAAGCTCGCAGGATTCTGGGCGGTTGTCACTGCGCCCACATTGCTTTTCTTCTCTCTGTTCTCCATAGCTGGCTCCCACGGGCAGCACTTCCCTCCTTAACTCCATGGCGATCATCCAGAATCCCGTAAAAATCTGTGATCAGGTATTTGCCCTGATTGAAAACCTTACCCACCAGATCCGGGAAAGGATGCAGGACCCCAACTCTGTAGGTGGGTATGAATATTGCTACCTTTCCTTCAGGGTCTCAGGTATGAATGTATTTCTCAGGTATTCTGTCTCATCTCTTAAGTATCAGAGACAAGAAAATTTCACCTTTCTGGTTCTACTTCAGAGTTCTCAGGGCCTTTAGTTAGAAATAAAATCTTTTATTTTCTCCTTTTTTAATTTCTCAAATTGTGTTTTGGACAAAAGTTTTAAAACTGTTTAACAGTTCATACACATTTTGATTTTATATTGATTGCAATCTCCATAATGTGTCAACTCATTTCAATTCCTCCCTGTTATTACTATTTCCACTCCTTCTTTCCTGCCTGCTGAGCTTATCTCTGGGTAAATGCTGCCCTTTTGATCTCATCGGGTTGACTGACTGTTCTAAAGAATGCAAACCACCTTGGTTTATTTTCACCTCACAGGCCTGTCTTTCACTTGACTTAAAGTTGAGGCATGGAAGTGAGTTCAGTTCCAGGCCTAAAGAATGTATAAGAGCCATCGTCTCAGAATAGAGGTAAAACATTTCCTCTGCCTGCCTGCCTTCCAGACCTGCAACTCTACCACAGTGAGACACTGGAGCTAATGCTACAGCGTTGGAGCAAGCTGGAGCGTGATTTCCGACAGAAAAGTGGGCGCTATGACATCAGTAAGATCCCTGATATTTATGACTGTGTCAAGTATGATGTGCAGCACAATGGAAGTCTGGGACTTGAAGGCACAGCAGAATTGCTACGTCTCTCTAAGGCACTGGCCGATGTGGTCATTCCCCAGGTAGGCCTCATACAAGGTGTCTTAGTTATCTAGTGCCACTGTAACAGAAATACCACAGTAGATGGCTTTAACAAACAGAAATGTATTTTCTCATAGTTTAGGGGCTAGACCTCTGAGTTTAGAGCACTGCTTTGAGGGGAAGGCATTCTCTCGGTCAGCTCTGGAAGGGCCTCTTGAGCTTCTCTGCCCTGGTTCCTTCATGATTACCATGTATCTTGGCATCTCTCTTATCCATTTCTCCTCTGCTTGCCTAACCTCTTTTATATATCTTGGAAGAGATTGATTTAAGGCACACCCTACATTATTCCTGTTTTATCACTGTGATAACTCATTCCCAAATGGAGTTATAACCACAGGCATATATATTTTGGGAACCACAATTTATAGCATTCCTCCCTTGGCACCCTTCCTGCATGCAAAATACATCCACCCCATCACATCATCGCAAAAGTCTTAGATCAATTCCAAGTCCAAAATCTCATTTGTTGAATTGTTTAAATCAAATATTGGTGAGATTTTAGGTGTATTGCATCCAGCGACAAAATTGTTCTTCATCCGTGAATTTGTAAAATCTAGACTACAGGTTGTGTTTCCAAACTGTAATGGTGGAATAGGCATAAGGTAGGTATTTCAATTACAAATGGGAGCAGCCCATGGCCCTGGATTTCAGCACTGCCTTCTAGGCCCACTGGACAGCAACTTTTCTCTCCACTTGGGGTGGCCCCATACTCCTAGTCTGTTTAAGCGGCAATGCTAGTCCTTCAGCCCTGGCGGAGCCCATTCTGCCTCTTGGGCATGGCAGCCTTGTCCCCTCAGCTTTGGGTAGTGGCCCCATCTTCCTGATATACCTTAGGGATCACCCCACACTCCAGAACTTGTTGGTAAAGATCCAACTCTTGGAAACCTAGGAGGCAGTGGTCCTACCTTTGAGAACCAGGAGACCATGGTTGAGGTTACCTGTTGAGACCTAGGGAGCTCTGCTCCCCATGGTCCTTGGGACAGATCTGCAGATCTCTGAGCTGCTCCAAGGACCTTTTTACCCTTTTAACTGGCATACAGCAGATGTAGCTTCCTTGGTCTCTTTTCCTACCTTCAGAATTCTAAAAGGCAGATGATAATCTTTCCTTTTGTTGTTTTGTTTCCCCTTTAACCTAAGCCAATAGGTTTTTGCTGCAGTGAGTTAGAGCCATCAGTCACATGCTTAATGTCTTCAACAAAAGTTTATGTTGTTTTGTCCCTGGTGGAAATTCAGGGACACATGTTGTTAGTTTAATTTTTCAAATATTTCGTTTTCGCTTTTCACAGTTCTTTTTTTTTTTTTTAACATTTTATTAGGGGCTCATACAACTGTTATCCCAATCCATACACACAATTGTGTAAAGCACATTTGTACATCATTCTCAAAACATTTTCTCTCCACTTAAGCCCCCGACATTAGGTCCTCATTTTCCCCCTCTCTCCCTGCTCCCCACTCCCTCATGAGCCCTTGATAGTTTATAAATTGGTATTTTGTCATATCTTGCCCTGTCAGACGTCTCCCTTCACCCACTTTTCGGTTGTCTGTCCCCCAGGGAGGAGGTCACATATAGTTCCTTGTAATTGGTTCCCTCTTTCCTACCCACTCTCCCTTTACCCTCCCAGTATCACCACTCACACCACTGGTCCTGTAGGGCTCATCCTCCCTGGATTCCCTGTATTTTCAGCATGGTTCATTTTTAAGTCTAGCATTTTCCTCTAACATCTCACTAAAAGCAGCAAGGCGAAACTGTGTGACCCCTTTAAGATCTTCCTTTGAAATCTTCTCAGCCAAATATGCAATTTCATCACTTATCAGTTTCCACCAACCATTCCAACATAATTCCGACAAGTTCTTTGCTATTGCATGTTCATCACTCCCTCCAAAAGCTTCACCAGAGGCACATTTAATGGCCACGTTGCTGGCAATATTCTCTTTCTGGCATCATATGGAATTCCCTAAGACGATAAAAACTCTCTCTTTAGCTCTCCTCACTTCCTTCTGAGCCCGCACCAAAATTACCTGTGATGCCCAGAGTTCTACCAGCAGTCTTCTCAAGGCTGGTACCCACCCACTTCCTACTCAGAGAGATGCCAGAGTTCCCAAGATTATAAATCTGAACAGGAGCAAGCAGCCTTATCTTTCTCTCATGGAGCAGCTGGTGGGTGTGAACCACTGATCTTGAGGTTATCAGCCCAATGCTTAACCTACTACGACACCAGGTCTCCCTAGACTTTTACTCTTGGGCATCTTAAAACTCTTCCAGGCTTTCCTCATTGCCTAATTCCAAAACTACCTCCTCATTTTAGGTGTCTGTTAGAGCAGCCCTTCATTCCTCTGCTATCGATTCTGTCTTAGTGACATCGTGCTGCTGCTGCAGAGACTCCACAAATGGATGCCTTTAACGGTCGAGATGAAGTTCGAATTCAGTGTGCTGACTCTAGGAGATGACTCTTTCTGTCAGCTCTGGAGGACGGGCCTTGCGACTTCAGTTTCTGCTTCCTTGGAATCTATCTTGCCTCTTCTACTGGCTCATTTGTTCAGCCTTTTTTTAAAAAGTTTTTTGGCATATAATTCACATCTCATATAATTTAGTAGTTCAATCATATTAAGAAGAGTTGTGCAGTCATCGCCACAATCCATTTTAGAACATTTTCTTCTGTCTTGTACTCATTGTTATTAGCTTCTCATTTTCCCCCAACCTCCCCTGCCACACCCCTAAGAAACTTACCTACTGTCTATAGATTTCCCTTGCTTATCTCTTTCATGCTTCAAAAGAGATTGATTTAACACATCTTAATTCTGCCTTACTAATGGACAGTGCATTCCTAAATGGATATATAACCTTAAGCATAGAATCTAGATTTATAACACACAATTTTAGAAGCCTATCTCCTTTGGCCTGTTTCTTGCATGCCTGAGTTCTAAGAGCCAGATAACATCCTCTCCTAGATCTCTAGGAATCTAGCCTGGGGAGGGATAATGTCGCTGTGGAAGGAAGCAGAGAAAGGGCGATAAGGAGGGATGGTGTGAGATGCAGGGGAAACTTACTGAAGAAATGAGGTCTGCTCTGGCGCTGGGTAAGTATAAGACTAACTTTAGATAAACCTGCAGAGGAGAATATAGTTGATATGAGAGGAACCCTAGACATGAGGTAAAGATGGGCATGCTCTTGGGTCGGGGAGGATGAGGCAAGAGGAAAACAAGATTTATGGAGGTACTTATTTCTGGTCTGTGACAGGAATATGGAATCAGCCGAGAGGAGAAACTGGAAATTGCTGTTGGCTTCTGTCTTCCACTGTTAAGGAAGATACTGCTTGACCTGCAGAGAACCCACGAGGATGAGTCTGTCAACAAGCTGCATCCCTTGTGAGGGAGGGCTGGGAGGGGTGCTGGATGGAGGGAGGGGCATGTCAGAGAACATGGTGGAACCATGGCTGGGATAGAAAGGAGAAGAGAAGTCATTGTGGTCGGGAGGAGAGCGTTCGTGGAGGGGCGGAGAGAGGGCGCCTGGCAGTGTGAGTAACGGAGCTATTCTCTCAGGTATTCTCGAGGAGTGCTCTCCCCTGGCCGCCACGTGCGAACACGCCTCTATTTCACCAGTGAGAGCCACGTCCACTCCCTACTTAGTGTCTTCCGTTATGGAGGACTTCTGGATGTAAGGGTCCTTTTCTGTGTTAAACGTGTGAACATCTTTTCTCAGCCTTCTTTTATGTTCCTTCTAATGCAGTATGTGTGTAAACTTCAAGCATGTTCTATGTTCTTTTCTCTATGTCCCTGCCCATTTCCGACTCTCTTGTCCTTGGACTTGACACACATCTCCTTGTGTTTGGTAGGAGACGCAGGATGCGCAGTGGCAGCGTGCTTTGGCTTATCTCAGTGCCATCTCAGAACTCAACTACATGACCCAGATTGTCATCATGCTTTATGAGGACAACACACGGGTGAGGAGCTGGTAGGGTGGGATGAGACGAGGGTTCCTAATCTATACCTCCATGCCTTTTAGGGGGGGGAGGGGAGAAGAAATTTCTTACCTTCAAAATGAGAGCGTACCCTAGAATTTAGCTCTGGTATTAGGTATGATAAAGAGTTAGGGATGCTATTCTTAGAACTCTTCTTACAATGAGTCTTTTTTCCTTCAAATACTGTTGCCTGTACAACTTCATCAGCTGGTTCCACAAAGGTGTCTTTAAATATGCTGCTGTATGCATTGTAGACAAGATGAGGTACTGTGAACGGCAGAAGTAAAGGCCTGCAGGGCTGAATGTTGGAAAGTCATGTGGAGTGGGGAGTTAGAAACAGCGGGGGTGAGGGTGCCATTAAGCCCCAAACCAAACCCATTGCCATCAGGTTGATCCTGGCTACCCTTGATCCCATACAGGGCTCCCAAGATTGTCAATCTTTGTGGAAGCGTACAGCCTCATCTCTCTCCTATTGGGTAGCTGGTGGGTTTGTACCTCTGACCTTGCTGTTAGCAAGCACTCCGGCACTTACCTCCAGAGCTGTTCTGTAATAGTATGCTATGGCTAAAGCTATAGCAGATCAGCCCTAAGGTGAGGCAAAACACTAACACCTCAATCCCGGAAGAGTATATTCTCTTGAGTGCTTCTCTGTGGCTTTAGCCTATTCTTTGACCACCATGTCCAGCTTCTCCCAACTGCTCTTTCATCTCATGATGCCCATAGGATCCTTTCTCAGAGGAGCGATTCCATGTGGAGCTGCACTTCAGCCCTGGAGCGAAAGGTGTTGAGGAAGAAGGCAGTGCCCCAACTGGCTATGGATTCCGCCCGGCTTCTTCTGAGGTGGGTCATGGTGCTTGACCAGAGACCAGAGGACTTAGGAAACTGGGAAGCAATAACAGGACTGTAAAGAATGGGGAGAGTCGGAAATCGAGAGGCTGGAGGACATCAACGCCTCTCTTATCTGTTCCTGTTGAACAGAATGAAGAGATGAAAACAGATCAAGGCAGCATGGAGAACCTGTGCCCTGGGAAGGCATCAGATGAGCCAGACCGGGCGTTGCAGACTTCACCCCAGCCCTTTGAGGGCCCCGGCCTCCCAAGGAGATCACCTCTCATTCGTAACCGAAAAGCCGGTTCCATGGAGGTAATGGGAGGGGCTTGGGACAAAGACTGGAAAGGGTAGAAGTGCTCCTGGGATAATATCCCTGTATTCTTTGAATCTTCTTAGGCTGCTACTAGGGGACCACTCTTGAGAGCTGAGTTTTCCAGCCCTAATGAATATATTTTACTTAATCTCTCTTTCACGGTTGGCCAGCCAATAGGGCTCTTCTATACTGGCTTCTACTTCTTCGAACGCAGAGATGTCAGTGAGGGGTCCCTGCTAGATAGATCATTAAGATATGAGATGGTGGAGGAGATCTATATATGAATGTGGAAAAGCAGTTCTTCAATAGGAAATACAAGAAAAGTAACCTGAGTTCTGCAGTCTGACAGCCCTGGGCTAAAATTTCAGTCTGATCTTAGAAGCTGTGTGACCTTAGACAGGTAGCTTAACTTCTCCCAGTCTCTAGCTTTTTTCTTCTGTAAAATAGGAGTGATATCTACCTTGTAAGCACTCATTAAGCAGTAACTATAATACCAGTAGTATTGATATTAAAAAGCCAGGCCTTCTCCCATTTTTTGTTGCCTTGAATAAGAGTTATAGTTTTTTTTGGGGGGAAACCCTGGCATTTAAATTTTATCCCTGCACACTCAAATCAACCCTGAAAGACAGTTGATCTGCCCTTTGGGTTTCCTAGACTACTGAGCTAGTGGTTGGCCTCCCAGTGCATAACCCCCTGTGCCCCCAGGATCCTTGATGGAGAACCTAATTCCTTAGGTTATCTGTGCTGTCTTTGCAGAAAGGAAGTGCAGTCTGGAGGTCTGTCTTCTTTCTGTCCTGTCACAGAGGTTTATCTGCCCTGTCCTGAGTCCTGCCGTGGGGTTTGTCTCTGCCTTTGGATCTGGTTCTTTAGTTGTTTTGATCTTTTTTTTCCTTGGAAAGATTGTTTCTCCCTTCAGCCCAACAACGCTCCTTTTGACTCCAGGATTTCTTTTTGTCTCTGACCATCTCATTTGGGTCCTACTGTGACCTGATAAATCTGTACCCTCTCTCTGTCTAGGGGAGCTGTTTCCCTGCCCCCACCCCCTCCATTCCAGGGATACAGGAGAAGACTCTTTTAACTAGATTTATTCATCTACAGACTTAAAGCCGGACTCATCCTTTGCTTCCTTGATTATTGTAAATGGACTTGAATTAGGAATATGTAGAGTTCCTTTAACTGAGATGAGTATTATTCTCTAAGGTATAGGTGTACTTCAGTACCCATAGGAGCCTAGTAGTATACAATACAGGCTTACCTAAAGTAGATCAAATGGGCAGAAGGACACAGTCTTCTGTCAACAAACTTCCTCCACCTCTAAATGTCCTCCCATGCACCTGATAGTTTCGTCAGCTCCGTGTGTGCTTGACCCCCGACTTTGATCTCCTGGCTTAAGCAGCCAAGAGACACAGGACAAAAGCGAGAGCCTCTGTAGGATCTCTGACTTGAGATTGACTTCTTCCTTTGGTAATCTCATTCCTTCCTTTCAGTTACTAGTGCTGGTCATCTGGAATGATGGCTGCCTAGAATGTGCTCCTCAGCGTTGAAAAAAGTTCTTTCTCTGCTTTTTGGTCACACAGCTCTATAATATTAATATAGCCTCTCCTTGCTCTATAAATATAGGTATTAGTCAATCTTATCCTTGCTGTCCACAACACTTCCCCCATCTCTTTTCCTCTTATCACCATCTTTTTGGACTTGGTATTTAGATTACAAAACCTGTGACTGTCGTAACAACTATGCCATCCTCTCTGTCCTTATAACTAGCTCTGCCCTGTGGGCACTTGGGCTTTTGGGAGCCTGGGGGTTAAAGGAGCCGTGACCGGCTTTCCACCCGGTCTGATTGCAGGTCATGAACATGCAGTGTACGGGGAGCCTGGACCTGATCCCCTTGAGGGGACGGCGCCGCCGGAGGTCAGGAGACCTCCCCCGGCCTTCCCCAGCCATCGGCCTACAGCCCCGGGCTGTGTCTACCACTCACCTGGCATCCTGCACACAGGTGTCCCCTCCCTGCCTTCCCTGCTTTTTCTGCCTTCTGTCTTTGCTTTTTGGGATCTAGGACTCAGAACACTATCTAAGTGGGGTGCGTGTATGTTGGGGGTTGCCTGACAGGCTTTTTGGAAATCTGTTTCATGTCTCCACTAGTGAGATATTTGGAGGGAAGACTTCTGAATTCCAATAAGAAACTGAACGTGGCTGCCATCGCCACAGCTGTCCCTGGAGAGACGAAAGGGTGGTCAAACATTATTCTGATATGTTTTTTGAGTCCTGGGGAGGGAGAGGTAACAATTAGGATGCTTGCTCTGCTGAGCACTGGATGGGATGAGTGGTGATTTTTCAGATTTGGGATGGGAAGACTAAGGGACATCCGAGGCATCTTGGAGACAGAAGTACCTTCTAGGAGAGAAGGAACACTTGGACAATTGCCTCCTCTGAGTGCACTCTCTGTTCTCTTTTCTTTCTTCTTCTCCCCTCAAAATCCTTTGGTTCTTCTAAACTTCCTGACCCTGCTTGGCTTTGTAGGGGCAACCAGTCAGGACCTGGGTATTAGATTTTGGGGTCGAGCTAGAAGAATGGTGATTATAGAGTCCTTTTTCTGCAGGTGCTCTCTGAGACCTCCTCCTCGAGGCCTGGCGGCTACCGGCTCTTTTCATCCTCACGGCCACCAACAGAGATGAAGCAGAGTGGCCTAGGTATGGTTTTCTGACCTTTCTCACCTGGTGTCGAGGAAGGGTGTCTGTCTGGGTTTGTTTTTTTTAAATAGTTTTATGGTGGGAAATCTTAGTGTTGGGAATTGGGGTCACTAGTAAGCAGGATTGTCAGGTGGGGATAGGGAGGGTGAATTGGGAGAAAACAAATGGAGATGTAAACTTTGGTCCCAGATGATTGCTTCCATTCCGGGAAGGCGGTTGTCTTTTTGGTTTTCTACAACACCCCCTAATTCTATGGCTCAAGGACAGTTTCCTGCCTTCCCTGCTCATTCCTTATCTGTCCCTCCAGTCTAGCCCAGACCTTAAGGGGCCATGGAGACTCTGAACCTTCAGAGTTATCAGAGACAGAACTATAACTAGAGGTATTTGTGACCCCTGTAAGTGTCATATTCCTCATTTGAAGACTTGTTCCCTCTTCCTCTGAAAACTATGCTTTGCCCATCCCTGCTCTGGCCCTCCTTCCTCCATGCCCTCTCCTCCATCCTCTCTTAATCCTCTAACGTTTTTCCTTTCCTTCTTAAACATTGAAGGGACACTTGAGACTTATTTAGCGATGGAGGCTTATCTCAGACCTTTGAGGGAATATCTTTCAATATTCTTGATCCCTAGAGAGGAGTGGGGTGCATCACCCACCCTTTCCTAAGAATACAGACTATGAGAAGGAACAGGCCTCCAAAGAGGTTGTATTCTTTGGGTGAGAAAGTGGCCCTTGGAAGGGGCTGTCATTGAACGTAGTGCCTTGTGAATTGGTAGATGGATGGTTAGAGACAATTGTGTGGGGTTTGGACTTGGTCCCCTGATGCTTTCCATCATATTTTCTTATACTTCTCTCTATGTAACTCCTCTTATTATTTTGTTACATTTGACCTTTGACCTTGATACACAATTCCATCCCATCCCCACCCCCAAGTCCTGCCAAATGCTCAGCATGCAGTCTAACAGGAAAAAGAAATTTTTTTCATTTTCCAGGCTATTTTTATATGGATAGAACAGCATTTCAGAATCCTGAAATGAGGTAAATTATTTGGGACCTGAGAAGAAATGACAAACATGTTTATAGATCTATAATACAAATTTTTCTTTTTATAAGACCCCCAAAAGAATAGGTTACTATGATAGCCTGGAAAGAAAATGAAGTCTGTGTATCTGGCTTTAAGCGGAGATACTGTCAAGAACAAGGGAGAGGTGTGGGCCAGCGACTGGTTGACAGATGGTAGTGGTCAGGTAGAGACCACCTTCTGAGATGATCCAAGGGCTGGGAAAATCAAGGTCGGCAGGACTATGCCTGGAAATTATTCAGGCAGGAAGTAGATGTAGAACAGATCTTCGGGTGGTTTGGGATAGAGCCAGCTCTCTTTAGCTTCTCTGAAGAAAAGCAAGACATATTTAGCAACCCTCTCTGCTCTCTGGAACTTCATTCCAGAGCTTGTGCGAGCATGAAAGGGAAGGAAAGTCCCTGCACGGAGGAATTCCACAATGGAAATGACTGGTCGTTTGAATTCCTTAATTTCTATAGTGGCCCTAAAGTCCTGAGACTCCTAAAACCATGGTGTCTTCTTTGTGGGTTCAAAGGAAATTGGGCTCTTCCCCCTCTGTCCAGCTCCCCTATGCGTGAGTGTTAAGTTCCCATGGCAAACCTAAGGTCTTGGCTATAAGATGGGTTTAGAAGTAGAAGGACAGATCCCAAGAACTTGGGTGTCAGCTTCATTCTATCTGCCCCATTGGCCTTGTGAACTGTAGTTGGAGAATGGGCCAATAGAGTCCTAACCCTACTTTGTATGAGATTCTAAGGACAATGCAAGCCTGGTTAATTTTCTTCAGAGTTATTTTATTCTTCTGATTAACAGTGGGATTCTCTTCTCTCTCTTTGAATTTTTGTATGTGAGCCTTTGATTTTGAAATAGGCCTTATGAGACAGTAAACTTTTGAGATTAGAAAGCATCTTTTTTGTTGTTTCTTGCCCGCTGGGCCTTCCTCCTTAGTAAGGCGTTTAGCACACAGTAGGCATGCTCTACATGTGATCATCTGATTATTCAGTTTGTGTCTACCTTGCCTTCAGAATCATGCTTTGTTTCTTCTTGATGAAAAACAGAATTTTTTTCTTCCTGAGTGCAGTTGGTCCTCATAGTCAGAAGACCCGATTTCAGTTCAGTTTAGCTTCTAACAAGTCATCTCCGAGTCCTTTACAGCTGTAAAAATTCAGTGAGTCTTGAATTTTCCTTCTTGAGAGAGGTCAAAGGCCTGGAAGAAGAGAGAAGGAAGGAGACACCGGATAAAGAATTTTGGAAAAATTGGAAGGGTGCCAGCTGAGGACTCAAAATCTAGTCTCAAGCTTCAGCCAAAGCTCTTTACTTTGTTGTTGTTGTTTTGTTTGTTTGGGTGTTTACTTTTAAACTTAAAAAACGAATGTATTTCTGGATTCCTCCAACCTTAGATTCAGGATAAGGGACATGAAACTGAATCTAGGGGGTTCCGTAGGGATCTACTTATTTTTTGGCATTTCTGAGAGAGAGCTTGGTCTGTAAGTAGCTTTGAATCTCCTAATATGACTAACTCTGCCTTTGTAGTTGCCTTTTGGCTTTGCCTATAGCCTCTTTAGGAGAAGCCCTATTTTGCTTGCTCAGTTTGGCTCTGGACAGTAGTGAAAGCTATTTGTGGTTATGTGTAGTGGCCACATGGAGGCGGCTGTAAGTGGCTGTGTATGTGTCTTGATGTTGTCATGTGACGTGTGTGCACTTCTGTGTAGGAGTGGCAGTTGTGTGTAGCTACTAATGCACTCCCGGCCTTGCAGGCTCACAGTGTACAGGGCTGTTCAGCACCACCGTGCTGGGCGGCTCCTCCAGTGCCCCGAATCTACAGGACTACGCCTGCAGCCATGGCAAAAAGCTACCACCTGCCAGTCTGAAGCACCGAGATGGTATGTGGGTGGGTTTTGGGGGGGGCAATTCCTATTTTCATTTGTCCCCCAATGAGGACACAGCTCAAGAACTATTCCTGCTTATGATGGCACTGACCCCGACCGCATAACGGAAGTTTTCTTCATCAATTATAGATGGGAGAAGAAGCCAGGACCCCACCCACCCCTCCATTTGCATTCCTTCTTGCCATTCAGATACTACTTATTTATGCTCATCCCTTCATACAGCCCTGCTATATCAATGTACCTCCCTTTTGTACTCTTTCCTGGACTCTGGCCTCTAGGGGTAAGGACCATGAAGGTCAGGAAGAATGCAGTGGAGCCTTCATGAAAACCCAGGGAATCAGGTTTAGGAATAGGGAAGTTGCGCAGCCAAGGCAGGGCAGAAGATCTGGAAAGAGACTGGGGGTTGGGAGAAAGCTTCTAGAAAGATTTTGTGTCCGAATGACCAGAAAAGGGATGTGGTGGTTAAAGTAGGGTTGTTTGTGGGGCCGCTTTGAGGTGGAGATGACATGCAGATTCCTTAGAGGTGGTTACACCAAGGGATATGTTGAGACATAGTCAGAAAGTTGAAGGGTGGGAGTGGGAGTATTTCAAGTAACTACCAGTGAAGAGCAGACTATAGAATATATTTGGGGCAGATTCCAGAGTAGACGCAGGTGGGCGCAGGAGTGGGTATAATCCCCATGATGTCTTTTCTCCCCAGAGCTCTTGTTTGTCCCGGCCGTAAAACGATTTTCTGTGTCGTTTGCAAAGCATCCGACTAACGGTACGTTTGCTTCTGACTCAACATCATTCCTCTTCATCATATCATCTCCAGACACTGAACCTCTGAGTCTTGACACTGATTCTGTCTCTCCTTCCACTGTGTTGACACCATGCTGTCTCTGAATGAGTCCCTCACTAAGTGTCCCTCCTGGGGCATTTCCCTTGTGACACCACCCTTTGGCTGTAGCCTAGCTGCCCTATACCTGTGGCAATTCAAGGTCTTACTTCCATAGCCACTGCCATCCCCATTGTGTCCCTTCTGTCAGCACCACACCAAAATATGGATTAAGCCTTTCCCATTTCCATCACATGACTGCCAGACTGTACAAACCGAATAGTATTTTCTAGATCACCGATTCTTCTCAGTTTTCCTCTACCCCTCAGCTCATATAATTTTGATCTTTCCGTTTTTTAACTGCAACTCTTTTCCTTGGGGCGGAATGACAGTTTTGTTCCTCTCTCGGAACAGTGCTGCAGTCCCCAGTTCCCAAACCTACCCAAGGGGTATCGGTCTTGAGTCCAGTTTACCTCTTCATATTACCATTGTGTGTACTCTGTGTGGCTCTCATGCACCTGACATCTGCTTTATGTGAATACTAACCTAGTGCCTGGGCCTAGGAAACAGGAGGCCAGATTGACTTGGGGTGAAAGAGAAAAAGAGGGGAGTAGGGTGGTCAGTAAAGGGTAACAGGTTGTGCTTGGGGTTTCTCAGGGTGGTTTTCTTGTAGGCTCCGCCTACAGATGGCACTGCTTGCACAGCGCAGCTAGAAGTGAAGGGTTGGATGCCTTCTGGGGATTCTTAAAGGAGTTTAGGAATTACTAACTTTTTAAGAGCATTAAAGAACTCATTCTGTCTGCACAATGGTGGGAGAGTTCTGAGACTGAGTAAACCGAAAACCAGAGGGCTGAAATATCTTGATAGTTATGATAGGGAACCAGACTCACTCCCTGTTGAAGTTTTATCCTTCGTGTGCTTAGCTTTCCTTCGCCATTGCAATTTATCTGATAAATCTGATGTCATTACATTTAGTTTTCTCTGTCCAGCAGCTAAGACCTTCTAAGGGAGGTAACATTAGTCTGGTTTCCCAGCTGGAAAAAACCTCCAAGTGCTGATCTCTTGCACCCTAACCAGTGGCAGCAGCTGGATTTTAGCTCAGTCTTGCCATGCGTCTGCACTAGGCACTGCCAGAATCCTTCCCTGGGTGCTAGGCTGCACTACCCCAGGCTATCCCCCTCCTCCCAGACTCCCAGTCAGTGTGGCATGGCTGTGCCGACTCATTGAAATGGACATTCTCTGACTTTCATGTACTACAATCATCTCTGAAGTAGAACCTGATGTACTAATTAATCCCAGAGCCAAGTACTTGTACTTAAGAGACATATTACTTAAGGTCCAGAATATGGTAATAGGACTTGGAAACCTGAAATCAGAATTCAATCAAAGATTTTCTAGTATGAAAACTTTATGCTAAAAGATCCATGTTCATAAAACAGATACTCAAACTATGTATCTCCAAGCCCCTAATACCTTGGTTAACAGTCTCACCAGTTGAAGAAAAAAAAAATCAATCCTAACAGAAAGAGAAGCCTGGATAATTCAGATATAGTGTAGAGGTTATTCAAGATCTTTTCTAATACCCTGAATTCTTCCTTAGGAGACTTCTGGCCTCCTTTGTTCTTCTTGAGCTTGAAGGCTAAAAGTGCTTGAGAAACCGGAATCTGGGACTTCCTGTTGGAACGATTCTGTCTCTTGCTAAAGATTATCTAGATTTATTTGGCCCTCAGGGCAATATGAGGGGCTCTAGTCCATGGTTAAGATCTTGCTTAACTGACCTAGAAACTATAGCGTGGATGTTCTATCTGCAGATGCTTATGGAAAATTAGTCACAGTAATGTGTCAGCCTACTGCCCTGTCACCACCATCTCCTTGCCATGATGTCCAGCTTTGAAACAGAAAATGGAAACACTAGGCCTAGCCGTGGAAAGGAGGTGATGCTGCCTCCTGGTTTGTTGGGAAGGTAGCCCTCAGCACATCTGTGCATCTGTTTTTGATAAGCTTCTGTCCTATCCTCTGACTACATCAAGCACCCAAGTATGGACTGTTACTAAACTGCGTGTTAAACTCTCCAAAGGAAACATGCTGGGAAAGAGACTGTGGCTCACCTCATCCAGAGTGTGCCCATTGGATTTCCAGTCCCATCACCTCCTAGGAATCCACACAACGGTGTGACCATCAGCACAGTTAGTGTTTGCCAGACTAGCCTGAGTAGAGCTGGAATCTGTCCTGACATCCAAACAATTATCTCTGGGAACCATAGCCTCATGCGGGATCATCCTGTGGGACCAGTTTTGTTCCGAGATCTCGGAGCTGGTATTCTCAGATACTTGGATTCTACCTTGCTGAACCACTATAGTTGATACTCTGTTCCAGTCTCCTGAAGAGACAAACAGTGGGGATATTGCAGGTTTGGTTTCAAACCACTGCAGTAAAGTGACTGTCGCAATGAAGCGAGTCACATGAATTTTTAATTTCCCAGGGCATATAGATGTTATGTTAAAAAAGTTATATTAAGTATACAAGAGCACTATTGAAAGAGTTTGAAATATTGTGCGAATTACCAAAATGTAATACAAAAACATTCAGTGAGCACTCACTCTTGGGAAATGGAGCTGATAGAATCTCTTGATGCAGGGTTGCCCACACACCTTCAGTTTGCACACACACACAAAAAAATTTTAATGCAGTATCTATGGCATGCCAGAAAGTGAAGCACAGTAAAATGAGGTATACTTGTGCTTACCTTCTTACCCATTCTCACATCACATCTCAAGATCCTATATCTTCCCCCAAGACCTTTCCTAAACTGATTTTTCTATAGCTTCCCTTCTCCTACCCTGGTCCCTCATGCCTTTTGCAACTGATTTGTACGTGCTCACAGAAGTTGTCAAGCAGCCAAAAATAAAAAATAAAAAAAGAGTGGTACAGGCTCAAAATTTCTCCACTAACCAACTGAACAAAGCACAGTCAGATTCATCAGCAGTGGTAAGAAAACATAAATTATCAAACTTTTGGTTATCTGGATTCAATGTTGCCCAAGTTCTGACATATAAGCCAACATTT